TTTTATGTTCATTCATTTTCTTTTCGGAAGTTCTCGGACCCTTTGCTCCTTCTTGATGTCATTTACATCCTGTCAACCGATTACTGATACTCAACCGGTTGTACGGGTCAACCGATTAAAATTTTATTCAACCGTTACCCGAAATTTATTCAATTCGGGTCGGTTAACCGATTATAGCTCAACAGGTTCAAATCACTATTTGTAATAAAAACTTGTTTGCTTTTTAATAAAAAAATTTTTTTTTAAAAAAAAAATGTGAATGATTTGATTGGATGGGATTGCAATCCAGGACCGGGTACTAGGATCGACTTCATTCAGGTATCAAGGATCTAGATCGATTTTAGATTAGGGATCGTCGTTTTCGTCCAATCAGAATGTGGATGTTCGAATAGAATCTCAAGTTAGCAACACTTTTTGCTAGGGTACTAGCTAGGGTAAATCATGTTTTACGCCACTGGGTGAATAAAAAACCCAACGCTAATGCTAAAATAACGGATTCTTTGTTTGTTGAAGCATAAAAAAAGCAGTTTACACGTGAAAACAAATGATTGCATTACTTCAAATTTCCGGAATTATTGTGTCTACATTTGAATACCTTTTTTAAAATGCAAAAAGATAATAAAATTTACATTTCATACAACCAAGTGCATAAGCTCACAAGAGAGGCAGTCGAACGTTACCGTATAAATGAAGACTATAAACCAGATCTTATGATTGCTATTGGTGGAGGTGGGTTCATTCCCGCCCGAATTTTGGTAAATACGATATTATCACCTCTATTTCCTTAAGGAGGGTGGACGCCTAAAGGAGACGTCTACTGTTGCATATTCGGAAGAATTATGGTCGCTACAAAAGAAACCTGAATTAAATCCTTTTTTGTTGATTTTCCGAAAGTTTGCCTTTATGATAGTTTATATACATTATGATTAAATAAAATATATGATTAAATAAATAATGCATATCATGTTTTTTTTTTATATTAAGCGTACCTTTTTAAAAAGAGAGAACAAGAAGAATATTCCAATTCAAGCTATTGGACTTTCTCTTTATGAAGATCTCGGCACATCAGATTCTAATGATGCTTCATCATCAGATGTTGATAAAATGGGTACACAGGTGATAAAAACTCAATGGCTTCATTTCGGACCATCATATGCCAACACTTGTCCATTGCTCGGTAAAAACATCCTTATTGTAGACGAGGTGGACGATACTCGTACAACTCTTGCATATGCGGTTCAAGAGCTTATAGAAGACATTAAAAATGAAAGACTTAAATTTATAGAAACTCATTCCACAGATACACCTATTCCAGAAACCAAGCTTGCAATATTCGTACTTCATAATAAAAAGAAAGAGAAACGAATGGAATTGCCAGATCCTAGTATACTTAGGGAGGGTAGATACTTTGTGGCAGAAGAAACGCCGGATAAATGGTTAGTATACCCTTGGGATGCTACTGATATTGATGAACATACTACAAAAAGTTTATCACAAGAGAATAAGTGAATATCAATCATTATAGACTATATTAATTGTATCAACGAGAATTTTTAAATTAGCAAAGCAATATAATAAATAATTTGATTCCCAAAAATTAATTGTCATATCAAGAGATGCAATATTTAAAGTCCGCGATGATTAAGTAATGTGGCGGATCATAATGAAATCGGATTAAAATGAAATTTGGGGTCTTCTTGCGTCCCCTTTAAAGCCTATAAAACCCACTTATAATCTTTTATTAACAAC